CGTTGTCGCCCCAAAAAGGACGAATGTTGGTGTGACACGTATTTATCAATTTTAGAAAAGCGTCTTACTAAGGACAGGTATCTGTTTATATATTATATAGTCCTACTCTAAGCAAAAATCAGTAACGTAACATACTGACGTCCAAAAAGTCTCCCCATCTCCCCCTGCCCATCATTGTCGAAGTATCTTGAAAAGTATAAAATCGTAAATCTTCCATGATTTTTTTTTACTTATCCCTAGTCTTGAAATGTGCGTATATACGAAATATTTCTCTATAAAAAATGTTAAATTCAACAGTGTTAGTAATATATTAATCAAATATTTAGTAACAATTTTCGAAATTTTGACAATTTTTTTGCATTTGGCCAAGGTCTTGCTACGCCGCTCCCAAAAATCTAGGGTTATTCTATTCTAGGGGCCTAAGCACTGAGATGGAATGCCTCATTTCCAGTAAAAAAAGTTCTCCGGATCTCTTCTCTCCCCACACGAAACACAGCAGTATTAAGCAGCTATTTTACACTGGTATTTAGTGAGAGCGTGGTCCTACTCCGGCCGAGCCAACCCATCCGTGCTACAACCATAATATAGCTGCAGCGTGGCTCTACGACGTATGATAATGTCACATGTAATGTCTCAAATAACATTTTCATTTCTTTTCAAAGCTTAATTTCTAAGTAAAAGCTAAAATTAAGGCGTGTTTGTTTATATCACTTATTATTGTATGTCATATGTAAATATATAACATTATGTATATTTGTTAAGTGTATGTATAGAAGTTGAGGACTATAATCATCAACCCTGCTAATTGCGGTAAGTCATTCATTACATATTTTTTAATTTGCAGTGGCACGAATACCCAATAATGTTCTTTATTAATGTTAACTAATTTTGATTAATAAAGTAGTGGCTTTTATGTAAATTATTAATGTTGCTATCAGGAGCAATGCTCTCCGGAGAAATCTCAGGAGAAATGTACCCTTCTGAAAATTTATTACGACGTAATTTTTCCTACTCAAAACCCTCCCTGAAATAAATGAGAGCCCGCGCCCAAAAGTGGGACCTAACTACATGTATGTTGCCTGTTACATTATTTTATATGATAATCTGTACATGTGTAATAACTTTGTTAGGGTAGTTATGAAAGCGTAAAAATATTTTAATCGTTGCTAGAAACAGAAATAGTGGAATAACAGAATAGGTCATCTGTCGTTCCCCGGAAGCAGCTGCGGTTGGGCGGGCGGTAGAGACTACGCTACATATTTGAGAGCACGCGTTCGATTCGCGGTATCGGAGGTTTACGATCTGGCCGCTTAGGGGAATTGTGGCTTCTCCGTGCCCTCCCCATACTACAAACCTACCTCTATGTACCGATCTGCGTACATAAGTAATACAACCTCCCCACCCCGGGGGAGCCTCGGGTCGTATGCGAATTAGAAGCGAGAGCCGAGCAAGCATTTCAGATACATAATTGTTACGAAATGAGTTCACAACATGTAGCTCCATGTACATTGTGTGAGTGATGTCAACTAATCCATAATTATACACCGACATTAATTACCTAGATCGTTTAGGCACCGCTCAGGCGTTGCGAAGTCCGAGTTAATACCGTGTCTCAGAACAGTTAATCACCGCGATAGATTTATTACGTCGCGCTTGATAGTCACACAGAATGATGCATCAATTTCCTGCGCGATTTCAACAATCAGCAAAGTTACACTCGACGAAAGAACTCCGTTCAAATTTTACGTGTCGTTAACGGAGAACGTCTTATTTGGTTGATTTAAAAAGTAACAACCCACATCGTTGGCACACAAATAATATCGTTGAGTGTCGACGCGAGCTCGGGGCGCCGTAATTTCCTGCGTATTTTGATCTCAATGGTGCGCTACAAGTGCACCCTCGTCTCTTTTCTCTAATTTTTGTACGTTTTCTGTGCTCGAGACTTGTGTTGAAAATAGCTGAGTAATTTTTCATTTCGGTGCGCGGCGGGCGTGGCAGATTACAGGCCGTTCCAAATAATACGCCAACGGTACTTAACTGAAGTGCGCCTACAGTCGTGGCCAAGTTTTGTTGCTTGTGTACGCTTTTCACCGTGCTTGTTTCATTGTGTCGCCATTTATTCGGCCCGGCTAACTTATTGCGGCCTTTATGTTTTATGAGCCTCTTATGAAGTTTTTCTTTCCAAATGAATATACAACAATTTTGTATGCAATCGTAATTTACATTTACAATGGGAATATAGCGTTCCGTAATCGAGTTCTTGTTTTTGTTAATTTTTATTTATTATGACGTAGTTTTGTTACGAGTATTTATCAAGTAATTAATTATGATTTAGGTAACGATGGAGCATCCTATGTGTGGGATGCCTGGCGAACAATTGTGTGCGGGCATCGAAGTCTCAATATATCACAGTGTATTTCCGTGCGCGTTCCGACCCGATGCTATCGCTCCGTCTTTTTTACGCATAAAAACTAATGTCGCCTCTAATTATTTTTAGATTATAACGCACCGCTTGCTCTATATTAAGTCGAACTCAGCCGAATTGTCAGCATAACTCCGCTTTGATGTATCATGATTTGTTTTTATTTCCAGCCACTTCCAACTTGATTCATGGGATGGATAAATTTTCGAGTGCGCTGTGAAACTTGCGTTTAATTGATGCGCTCACATAATAAACTGTTATGACAGTCCCGTGATTATTGCACTCGATATACGACTATTAGTCTGTAGACTTAATAATACTAATGGTTTCTTTTGTAATACGCTACGTCGTATCGAATAAGTTTTTGATCTGATCATGTTTGGCGAAAAAATCAACACAACTCGTTGGGGATATTTAGTTTTCGAAGAAAAACAGTGAATTAATAAAGCTCGAGCCCAGAATGGACGAAAGGCATTCATCTCTGTCACACTAAACGTGCACAAGTATCGATACGAGGGAGAAAGGGAGACGAAGAAAAACCGGGAGTGGTTACGCGGTCATATGTCGCTTGCGGCATGCACGAACTTCCAAACGTAGGTGTACTCGCAGTTGCGTGCGCCCGTCCTCCGCCCGAGCAGCAACTTGGTGTTAATTTGAAAAGGATTATAAATGCCTCATTAAGGCTATTCGACATATTGTATAAAATATTTACGAGGAAGGCACCTAATTGAAAGTATTCATGCGATACCAGTTTTTCTTGCTATATTGTTAACGCATTTCACAGCATCTTATTAACATAAATGCTCATTTACGTAGTGATTACCTTAAACGTTTAGTTTAATAAAATAACAGAAAGAGATTTCTCAACTTTTTGTTATAAGATAAGTTTCGCTGACTGTTACAATCGGTTTTTTAAGTCATTACACTTTACCATCATCGACTTCATTCAACCACTTACTATCAGGTGAGGCAATTGTCCAGCCCTGGCATATAATAGTAAAAAAATTGATAAGACTTCAAATTAACAATATTATATTCCAATGGAAACATTAAATTATATTGGTAGTACGGTTACGTTTCTTTCTTTGAACTTGCAGTTTTCATGCAGTCTTAAAAGCCGTGTAAGTGTGAATCGGGTCGGTCTACGAGGGTTCCGCACATATTATTACCGATTAACTTTTTTCTAAACCAGGCATTTAATTATTAATTTACTTTTTTTGTCTTAGTTCTAAGGGAGCGCCAAATTATGTTCTCATGTTCTGGCTACAGTCCACGATCGACCTTATAAAACGATGTTTCCGCTATTTTGTTGCTTAAATACAGTTTAAGGTACATAATGAACAGACATTTTAAATTCCTTCTCTTGAAGTTTTTGTAACGGACTACGAAATAAAACAGTCTGAAATTAACAACATTGATAGCCTGCCTCCCTTTTCTTTATTTATAAAGATAAAAAACAGAATAAATTTACACATATAGTTAGCGTCCTCAATTTATTACGTCTTTATATTTTGTAATACGCGTAACGCAAAACTTGATGAAACCTAAAATGCCGAACTAAATCCCTTCTTCAATAAAGTTTTTAATATAATTTTACTTTCATTAGTTACAGATTATAAGTCAAGATCTACTTTATTAATAACGTCTACACACTTTATGATTAATTCAAATACCCAAGTTAAAAGATAGCTAACACCGTTTTTGAATCATTACGAAGTGATTTTTTTGCGTGGGTTAAATAGGTATATTCACATATGATCGGCTTTACTATTAAATATTAATTATCTATACCTGACTCTCTCTATTGTCATATTGAAGAGAGAAAGTGCAAAATTAAGCATTGTTTAAGTAAATGTCGATTTTAGAATTAAGAAGCCGTATATGTTTGTAATAATCTCAGAGTAATTACTAGTAATGTTTGTAGTTACTTTAACGCAACTAACAAACTAAACTAACAAAAGTACCTACGTACGTACTGTCATGGACTGTCAGTTATAATTTCTTTTGTTATTTTATTTTTAAATCATCAGCATTGATGTTAATTCCTAACCTAATTTATTTACTTCTGGTGTGGTGACAATTATAGATTTTAATATTTCAATTTAAATCACCTCCTAATACTTGTGTTGATAGAAATTTATAAAATTATATTTGATAATGTTTGTTAAGGCTTTTGTATGATTCTAATTTCAAAATCTGAATCATTATTTGACTATTTAAGAGTGACTAAAGATTTCTTGAGCGAATATTTACTATAATATATATAACAAAAAGGTTCAAATTAAGGGACTGGGACAAAAATTTAAATTAATTTTCGTCCCAGGTATGTGAAAACGTGACTTCGTTGTTAAAGGCAATTAATCGAGCAACCCAAATAACGGACACATATGCACAACTTACATTAATCATTAAAGTCAAATCGAAATGCGAAACACAAACACGAGCCTTTCGCGTAGCCATTTATTAGAGTGAGATAAGTCTCGATAGGGCGGTGTTATGTTAATCCGTATGCGGCGCTGGCTTTATCTAAAGTGGCGCGAGCTGTAGACTTCGGGTCTCAGAGACCCATGGGACTTACCCGTAAGCAGCGAGCGTGGGGTCGTAGGGATAGTAGCCGCCGGAGGGTTGGAGGCCCGCGGACGTCCACGCCGACATCTCACCGCCGCCCTCCTTCAAAGCGTATGGGTTGCTCTGAAACACAAAACCGCTGAATGAGTCTTTAGATGGCTAAAATCGGCATTTTGAAAGAAATTCTTTCGCTTAAGTTCCACGATGCGCAATTTTGAATTTAGACTGTGTTCATCAATCTTTGACAATCGACGATTATAATTATGATGATGATATCAGCCTGACCTTGCAGAACTTTATATTCGAAGACATCAACAACACAAATCAAATCAGGCAAATAAGTAAAGGTTCTTCTTTTACAATATGAAATGTAGCGCTCTGGGTTCACGAGTTTCGAAGATGTTTGTAATGGTAAAAAAATTTATACAATTGAATTATTGTAATGATGATGTTTTATAATCTGTGTTCATTCTTCTTGTTCTTACGTAAAATCTACAGCTGACATCAGTATCTCCTGTAGTAAGAAGAATTTGCCCCAAACGTCACGCTCGACCAGACGTCTCACACCTTTGGCGTTGCTTTCCGTCTTCGGTCTGGGTTAAATCGAGCTTAAATAAGATGCTTATACTGCCATCTATTGGAAACTATTAGAAATGTTTGCCACACTCCATTCGACTTTTACGACGCCCACGGGCCGAAATACAGTAATGATATTCTTTTACGCCGACACAAAACGGCTAACCTTAATATTGCCACAAATGCACAAATGTTTGCACAAACTTAGAGACTCTGGGAGGAACTCATCCAAAGTCACTTGCACACTTATGCTGATGTTTATAAGCTCGAAGGTGACTATGGCAACTACAATACAACCAATAATTTGTGTCGTTGCACAAATATTGAATCCGGCTGGAATTCTACTTTGAGACCGCGGCGTAGTACCCAGGTACTCACTAGCCTACATGGTCGTCAATAATATTTTGTACAAACCCGAAAACTAATACTTATATAGTATAAGGTATATATAGTGTATATATAGTATAAGACTGGATGTGGCTTATTTCTAATTAAAATCTTAAGCACTAACGCTGCATTAAAAACGATAACAAGACCAATGCATTATTGCACATAAAAAGAAAATAAAGTAACATCATCAAATATAAAATAATAAAACAAATATCGAATACAATCATTCTGAATGTTTATGGATATATATAGGTATCAATGAAGTCGCCATTACAATTGTGGGGTTCTGTATTTGGGAAAATATTATTGTAATCGACCAGGTGAATACAATTAATGCATTACTGATTGAAAACAGAGTTTTTCCTTATTATTTGAAAGGGACGTACACCTCCTCGTCATAATATTTGTTGGAGTCACTTTGTACAGACAGAACAAGTACATCCTTCAATAAATAACGGGCATAAGAGGATATAAATCACAACGCTTAATTCCTTTCAGTCAATCGGCCTAACAAATACGCTGGCTTAAATTTAATTAAAGCAGACTTAATAAAAGGGAATAAACACACGAACAACAATAAAAGTCCCAAGTGTACTGGCTGACATATCACTGGAGCATTTGCATAATGTATGGGTATAGAGGGGAACACTATTAAGGCCTACGAGGCCCCGATGCGTGATAGTTGTTTAACTGTGAGCTAGTGAGTGCGGGAGGGCGAGGTCGACCCTCTTTACTAAGTTATTCGCATGCATTAGGAGCAACTAAATTAAAAGTGTGAATGATTCCGCGCCTCGGGATGGCGACCCTTGTTTCTCCCCCTGTCGCGTTTTGCACAGACTCCTCTGATAATAAAACGAAATGCATTATGATACATATGGAGCACTGGTTGTGACGCCGTGCGATAACTGAATAGAAGAGTCGGGCTTATTTGTCGTCCCCTCAGTTTTTAAGTAAGAAAAAGTGGCGTGCGTCTATTGTCGCAGTGATTTTTCTTCCGTTCCGTGATAGCAAATTCGGTTGCGTTTTTGAAACATAAAACTTTCTTTTTAATTTAACTTCGTGCATAATATTCAAGAGTTATTCCATCGTTTATGAGCGAAACTGTACTTAAATGACATTTGAACGTTTCTAAAAAGTTGAGCACGGAGGTAACAAATAACATAACGTTCGTGATGCGCACGTAACGAGAACTTTTTTGCGGTATATTTGGAATAAAAATATGCGAATGAAATTAAATAAAATGTTTTGTATAGTTATTTACGTTTGAATTATTAATATAAATATCATAATAGGTCAGACTAACAAAGAAAGATAGAAGAAACGCTAATGACGCCGCAAGCAAGCTAAAACCTGCACACATATAATCTAAATTCATTTGCAACCAACAACAAGGTTTAACGATGCATAGTATGTCTACTTCCAGCAATAGCAGTGGCAAGAGTTGGGAACTTTTACCGGCTGCTAATGAAAAAAAGGAGTAAGATGTGGGCGTGAAGGCGTTTCAAAAAGTTAAGCTTGGTTTCGACGTCCCGTGAAATGTAAGCAGCCTTTCTCAGTTTGTCTGTCTTTCTTTCTTTATCAGTTTATATCATAATAAAAGTATTTATTTCGATATAAATACATTTTTAAATTTTTATATCATCCGACATAAATAAGTCGTGGTAGCTCAGGGGCTAAGCATACGCTGACAATTTAACAGAACGCGACCAACCCGCGTACGATTCCCGCCGGCACCAATGTTAATTTTAGTTGCAATTTTTAAGGCTGTTTTTCTTCACCGCAGTGCATGTGATAACAAACGTGCTCGGTGGTAAAAGAAAACATCGTGAGGAAACCTGCACTACGATGATTAAATAATTTCGACTATGATGGTGAATGGATGGTGTGCCCCAAAGACATCTACATCAGTTGTTACCCCTAAGGACCAAGTTGGAGTCTTTCGTTGCCAGTTAAAATGGCCTTCGGCTCTCTACACTCTCGATAGCTACTATCTGAAGCTAGTATTCCGTGACTTCTATTAAATATTCATTTTTCAATAATAAAGCTCATACGAGATTTTCAAAATTACATACAAAAGAATACTTGTAATATACTAGCGCTCCGACCCGGGTAATTTCCGGTACGGGTAATTTCTGGATGTCGATAACCCAGCCACCTACAAAGTCCAATTATAAATCTAAACCACCTAGATAATCAGTCGAGCTATTTTCGAGTTCAACAGACGGCAAGTGATATTTATATGTAGAGTTAATATTAGTATAACTAAAAGTAATATAACCTATAGAAACGTTTTTTACTCTAATACGCTCGGTAAGTAAAATAACTTGTATGGGGGAGAGCGTGTGATACATAGCAAAAACTAGTCGCTCTAACCATCGATCTTATCTACCCACAACTTCGTTGCTCGTTGCCTACCTAATAACGAATTAGGTTGAAAGTCGGAAATCATAGTTTTAAAGCATTTAAACTACAAAAAATAATATAAAGATTTAATTAAACATAATTGATATGAGAGACAGGGCAATCACAATGCACACATCCGGAAGACAAAACCTAAGATAAGATTTTTATACACTTATGATCAAATACTCAAACGCTGACCCTACGAGACTTAGCGACATCTTAAAATTGAGTACCTAGCTTTTGAGTGCTTTGGGCCAATAAACTCCCAAGGTCGGATTCGAATTCTCTTCATCAACTTCACTGGCAATTTTTTTATAGAATATTGGTGACAAACGAGCACACAATCCACCTAATGGTAAATGGATGCTGTGGCCCATAGATATCTGCATTTAACCTCGATTAAGAATCAAAATGCAGATGCGTTGTCACCCCTGAGGACGAAGATGAAATGCCTCGATTCCAGTAAAACGGGTCTCCGGTTCTCTACACTCATTACACAGCATTAAGCTGCTATTTTACGCTAGTATTCTGTGAGAACGTGATCCTTCCCCGGTCGAGCTGACCCATTCGTGCTACAACCATAATACAGTTGCAGCGTGGCTCTACCACGTATAGAGACGACCACCAATACAAACATCGATTGTACTACTTCTTGCATCTCTTACCAGATCACTACATCTGGTGGGAGGCCTACCTACACTTTGCATATCCGTACGTGGCTGCTACTCAAGAACTTTTCTAAGAAGGAACTAGAATAAACCAATGGGGTCAGCGGTTGTCGGTTCTGCGAGTTATATGGCCTCTTGCCACTTCAGCTTACTGGTGCGTTGGCCTAACCGCTGTCTACTGCGGAAATCCTCATTTCCATGTCTATTTTTTAAATATCTTTATTCGTGTTAGACTCTTCGTGACGAAACTTCATCGACGAAGTTGGCGATATTTTAAAATGGGCCAGATTAAGAGTACCCCTAACCGACGAGCATGTATGCGTAGGTGGCGAGAGAGGTGTGTCAGGATCGTGCCAAATGGAGGTCCATAGTCTCGGCCCACCCCTCTGGGTCACAGGCGTGAGTGTTTATGTATGTATGTAATCTCTTCGTTTGTTTAATTTGACCAACCCCTTATTAAGCTTGATGTATTATTATCACATTAATCTATAATACTATTATTAAAATAGTGAGGAAGAACTACATATATCTGTTATTTTAGTATATTTGTCTACAAAATAGTGTAGAGCTATAGTGAATAATGCCTTTTTCACTGTTTCCCATCAGCATCATTAATATCTATCGCTGTTGAACAGAATATTACACTCTTACGGTTTTCCCTCCGCCAAATAAACCAATGACAAATTCGCAGAGACAACTCTTTTGTGGGGCCATGTTAAAAATTGTGCTTTTCCTGGCCCTGACAGTAGTGCTATGGAGTTGGGTGTCCGCTAACTATGAGTGATGATTGGCGCGCCCCCCGCATTAGGGGTTCTGTCAGACACGTGTCTGACCGCGCTTTAATGATTAGACTGATTGCCTTCGCGGAAGTCTCTATAGTTTTGTTGCTCTATCTTAGTATGCACACATACTCGTAAATAAATTTCAATAGGATTTTTTTATATATATACAAAGTTATAGTTTATTAAATATTTAAATAGTTGTCCATAAATAGAGAATTTCCTTTCTACAGGCCTAATTTTAGGCTGGAGCCGTAACTACAAATTGGACAGTGATGTGTAAAAATGCTCCAACCCACAAACTGGT